GGTGGATGACACTTGATTTGTGATATGCTGTGTGATTCAGCATCACCATCTCTTTCTTGGCTGTTCCAGAGTTTCTGTCTTTCCATGCCTGAATTTGCTGTCTGCAGAGCCTCAGCAGAGAACTTTATGACAGAACCCTTAATGAACAACCAGGATTAAAAACTTGTATTTTAAATAAAATGACTCCTTTTATTGGAAACTCAATTTATAGATCAGATTCTGTCTTTAGTGACTTCAAGGATCTGCTAAAATTTCAGTTTCCAAAGGAAGATTTTGTGATATTACTAAATACTGCACGAAGCTGAACTCATTGGGGATTTGAAAATTCTCATGCCCCTTGAAAATTTTTGTTACAGCTTTGTTTTGTGCAGGAAACTTATATAACCTCTGTTTTGGTTAGGCTCCTCAGATCATGAAAATTATAGTAATAGCAACAATTCATTATATCAAAAGGACTTGTTGCTATTTGAACAATTTTCAGATAATTTACATTTCTCACTAATCAAGTGAGGTTATTATAGCTTGGAATGTGGGGTCTAAGTTCATAGGTCAGCACCTTCTCAGGGGCAGGGATAGGTCTGAACTGGAAAGATGCTATCCACAAACCAGTGGATAGCATGGACAGAGTCTTCCTGCTTCTAGCCCTCTCCTGGGCATTAGGTATCCATCCCGTGATACAAACATTCTAAATTTGTGCCCCAGATGTTTCCATTTGCTCAAATATTAGGCATCTACTCCCTGGCTCATCTATGCTCTTTCCTTTCTAGAAGGTCTGCTTTGATTTCCTTTCTAGAAAATGACAGGGTCAAACCAGGTAAGGTGATGACTCAGGCCCCATCAGCATTGGCCTGGGCTTAGCCTGTCTTAAGGAGAGCCCAGTCAGGCTTAGATTTGAATCTCATCCCCTCACTGTGGGCTCTGGGTACCCTGGGCCCTCTAAGCATTTCCTCAGCTGTGGGTGGGGCTGACACAGACCTTCCCTGCTTAGCTGTGTGAATCAGAAATTAATAATATACACTGAAGCCCTTTCATAGCTCACAACAGGCCCTAGATACCTGGTTTCATCATCATCATCATCATCATCATCATCATCATCATTGCATATTCTGGGTCTTTTTCAACTGTTTTGAACTTATTTTTACTTTAAATTTTTTTAATTAATTAATTTTATGTGTATGAGTGTTTTGTCTACATGTATGTAAGTGCATTGTGAGCTTTGGATCCCTTGAGATTGGAGTTAGGACTGTTGTGAGCTGTCCTGTGGGTGCTAGGAGTCAGCCTGGGTTCTTTACAGGGGCAACATGTGCTCTTAACACCTGAGTCATCTTTCCAGCCCCACTTCTTTTTACTTTAAAAAAGTATCTTTTCCGGGCGTGGTGCCTGCCTTTAATCTCAGCACTCGGGAGGCAGCAGGCAGATCTCTGTGAGTTCAAGGCCAGCCTGCTCTACATAGTGAGTTCCAGGACAGCTGGGGCTACAAGGAGACCCTGTCTCAAAAAGACCAAAAAAAAAAAAAAGTATCTTTTTCTGTGTCTCTGTCATCTGTCTCTCTGGATGGACAGTGGAATACAACAGGAAAGGTTTTTATCTTTTAATTGAAAAGGTGCCCTTAATCTATCTCTTACATTTGTGCCAAACCCAAGGGAGCTGGTTGGTCCCCAGGCCTCCTGTGGGGACCCCCTAGTTAAGTAGTTCAGCCTGACTTAGCGGGATGTCTTCTAGCTCAAGGCTGGGTGGTCTGTCAGCCTTCAGCGCCCCCTCAGCGGTATGCCCTGCTCTCCCTCCTGCCGCTCCCTGCATACATTAGCCCTAATGTATTCTCTCTTGAATACTCATCATATTAAGTCTCCCGCTAGGTACCTTGCTCGAAAATAAATTTTATGGTCATACATCCTCGCTCTCATCACATGCATTTGTGGCTGGGAGGAGAAATACAGTCGTATTCCTCCTTGGAGAACAGGCCGAACAATTGGGTAGGATTAGGCTGTGGCCCTGGAGCCCTGAACTTGGAAGCTGCGCTGCTTCTGCCCAGTGCTCTTCCTCGGACTCGGAATCCAGTCCGCTCACACAAAGAAGTCCCCAGTGGTCCATCAGGTCCGAGGCGCGGCGGCGCTCTGCGGTGGCGGTGCCCAGTTGCTGCAGGACGCAGCCTCCACTCTGCGCTCAAGTGGCCCCCCGCACCCACCGTACTGTGACCCGCTACAGGGGCCTTGTTCAACCTTCTTCCTCCCGCTCCGTTCTGCACCCTTTGCCTTGATTCATTTCCTTGAGCTGGAAGGGTTTCTGGGTTGTCTGCTTCCTCTCCCTGCATGATGAGAGGAAGCAGCCCTCCACACCATCCTTCCAATTTCAACCACATCCAACCCCAACCCATCCAACCCCTCCCCTCCAGGAGTACTAGACCAGCTTTACCCTCATTCTCCCTTGCTGGAGGCTGGGCTTATCTGGCTATCGGAAGCTGTGCTTCCCCGACCCCCAATCTCTCCTGGCTAGCTCAAGTGCCACCTCACCTTCCAAGCCATCCCCTTCCCCTCTGGGAGGTTGCCAGTCCCTAGTGGCCCCTGAAAGAGGCCACAGTGTGGCTGGATAAAGTGCCTAACCCGAGGCACACAGGTTTGCCCCCAGCCGGTCAGGGTGGCTGTTGAGCCTGTCAGGGTGGCTGTGTGATGGCCATTCTCTAGGGCTCCACTGGAGGGTTGGGAGGTAAGTGCTGAGATACTTTATCAAGGCTCAGAAAGATGTAGCCTACCAACATGTGTGCTCCTCAGGTGACTTTCCTTCCCCTAAAGCAGTTAGTCTATTTTTTAATCACAGAGAAAGAACATGATGGAGGTTTGTGGTGTACAGGCCCTGACATTTTCCCTCATCTTGATTGGTTCATAGTAGTAATCCTGGGAGGCAGTAACATCTCATCACCCCAGTTTTCCAAGTGAGGAACTGCAAAGGGGGTTATTTGTCCAAGGTGAAAAACAGAGGGAGGATTTGAACTCAGGTGTCTGGTGTGTCCTCCCTGTCTCTCTTGTTAAATGGCTACCAAGGACAAGCAGAACTCCTTGGTATGTACTCATTAGCTGAAAAATGTCCCTGCCACAGAGGAAAACACTTTTGTTTTGTTTGAGACAGAGTATCACTATGTAGCCTAGTCTGCCCTCTGCCTCTTGATTCTCCTGACCAGCCTCCCAAGTGCTAGAATTACAGGTGTGTGCCACATGCCTGGCTTGGGAAAAAGCTTTGAAATAGAAAGAAAAAAAAATTGCATATGAACTGGGACAATTAGCAAGTGTCCAGCCTGCCTGTATCTACCTCAGTGTGACTCCTGGTACTTGTGAAAGGGATCAAGGAGCAAGACATTGGATAACAGATCTGATATTCAAGTGAATGCTAGTACTGCTTAGGTTCTCTAAGGAACAAGTGAGGTTGGGGCTTAATTGGATCCAAGGTGGCCACTTAGGGCTATTGATGATGTTGAACTGGAGTTACAGACGGTTGCTAGCAGGCATGTGGGTACTGGGAATTGAACCTAGGTCCTCTGCAAAAGCAGTCAGTGCTCTTAACTGCTGAGCCCTCTCTCCAGCTCCCGCTATGAAGATTTTGATATGCTCAATTTTTTTAAAATCAGTGTTTTCCCTATGTTAACATTTTAAGATTCATATCCCACCCATGAGCATTATAGGGGTAAAGAAATATGGGAATCATAATCTATCTGGTTTTGGTACTTTTGTTGACATTGTGGAGAGTGTAGGAAAAACCAAGGAACTGTTTCAGGTGAGCTTTGTAATGCAGATTGGAACAGTTGTTATCTAGTAGTTAACCTTATGAAATTATCCTTTTGTGCCAAGCACCTGCTAGTTGATGAAGATGAAATACTGCTCTTGCCTCCTAAGGATTGCTCCTTTCCAGTGGGAGTGACTGTGTGCAAACCATTAGTAAAAGCAAATTATAACAGATAAGAGAAACTCCTTATGGAGTTTCTTATGAGTGGACCTCATAAGTGTATACCAGGAGGATTCTAGAAGAGGGCCAATGCTTGACTTTTGTGTTTCTAGTCTTACTGTTTGTTATTTCCCCTCTTTTAGGTGTGTGTGCAGAGGAGTATAGGGAAAACTGGCCAGAGACACTAGCGCAGTTTGTTCATCCAACCATGGAAGCCTGACCATTGAAAAGCTTTTGCAACAGTCAATGATTTAAGATACTATCATACCTCCAAGCAATTCCTTGATAAAGATAATATGTCAGAAAAACATGGGACAGTGATTAGAGTTCAGCTGCAAACAACCGAATCCACTTTCATTACCATATGTTAGGTGACTTTCAATTTGGTGGAGCCAGCTCCAGGCTAAGCTTCCAGGAATAATTTCCAACTTCCAGAATTTCATTGCCTTTGCCAGGTGACTGATCAGAAAATTTCAACCACAGTTCCTCATTGCCTCCACTAAGACCCACACCAGTATGAGGTGAGCCTGCCCCTCAGCTATCCCTACATTAACTTAGTTCTGAATTAATGTTTCTCTAGGTGCATCTGATTGGCGGACTCTCAATCAACTCAAAACACAAGCTGTGGGCCGGGGTATGGCTCAGTAATAGAGCACTTGCCAAGCATGTGTGTGGTACTGGGTTCTATCCTTAGCACTTCAGAAACCAAGCTGCAAGGGAGTCTGGAAAAATCAATGGATAGATTTCCAGTCAATAGCACAGGATAGAACATCAGTAGGGGCCAGACTGTTTGAGCCAATCATTGCATCTGTTGTACTTCAGGATACTGAGATTCCCTTGAGCATCCTCAGGCCTGAACCTTGGCTTAACCACACCCCTGATATCATTTTCTTTTCAGGCCAGATGGCCTCAGTCCATGCCTAGGCATGGTTCACTTTGGGGCTAATGTTTTAGTACAGCTTCTGCCCAGTAGTGAAAATATGGCAGGGTTAGGTCCTGTCAGGCATTTATTTCATGGTCTTGTCTGACTATGTGGAAGGCTCACACTGTCTCTCCTCTCTCCACAGAGATCCCCCAGTGTGCTGGTTGCAACCAGCACATTTTGGACAAGTTCATCCTGAAGGTCCTGGACAGACATTGGCATAGCTCCTGCCTCAAGTGTGCAGACTGCCAGATGCAGCTGGCTGACAGGTGCTTTTCCAGAGCCGGAAGCGTCTACTGCAAGGAAGACTTCTTCAAGTGAGTCACAGCCTCCCAGTCCTCACCTGGCCACCTCTGCCTCCCGCTAGGAAGTAGGGAGAATAGGGAATCTGCAGGGCCTCCCACCTCCAAGGAGTTGGCTAGATCCTGGCGATCCCTTCATTGCAGTCCTCCTGGTCACCAGCCCCATTATTGACTCATCTGGGCTCTTCAGGGTGGGGATCCAAGAGGGCCAGGCTTCTCCATAGAGAGGAACTGCTCTTTTTGCCTTGAAGAACTGAGGATCAGGGCTTTGCTGTATCATTCTAGAGAGCCCAGAGCAGGTGCTTTTAGCTTTGTGTTCTACCCTTGAAGGAGCATTCATGGCTACATTTCCTTGGTGGCTTCCAGGCCTCAGACTGGAAAGAGCTGCTTCTGGAGGGCATCAAACCAGGCTCTGTTGGCATTGTCATCTGAAGTGAAAATGCGTTAAGAGGCAAGAAAACATGTTAAGGGCAATTGCATGTGACAGTTAAGGATCCAGTCTGCCTGGGTTTGAAACTAAGTATTGGCTGTGTTCTTTTGGTCAGCTACTTAATTTTGTGTCTCAATTTGCTTATCTGTAATATGGGACCACTAGTACAGTTCCCATGTCATATCAGCTTTAAACATGTCACCATATGTAAAGTTCTCATGGAACGTTGACTCTAAAGATTGTCTTTGTCAGTCTGGGAGGGGGGTCCACTAGGAAAATCCAGTCTGGATTTTGAGTCAGGGAGACCCTCCTAGAATCAATTTTGCATATTTTAGTATGTAGTTTCTTCCTAGGATCCATTACCTGAGGCTGATTCTTTATGTAACACTGAATAACCAGCCACAGGAAAAGGGTGGGAGTGGCATGTGTGTGGCACTCAGCCTCTTGCCCATACACACCAGCCCTGGGAGTCCCATGAGAGTGAAGCAGGGCTGCCAGAGCAGCTCACCAAGACCTGAAATAGCTGCAATGGCCGGCCCCTAGAGGCAGTGCACAGTTTGGGATCATGTGCAGTATTGAGACAGGGAGGAGACGATGGGAATTTCTGGGATTTTCTCAAATTTCTTTCATAGAGTCTTACAGGTTTCCCATACTTCTGACCTTCTCATTTCCATTCTTTCCACCTGCATGTTTAAGCCTTTGTCCTTATTTTCCTGTCTCAGGGATGCCCTGGCCAGGCAGCCCAGCAGCTCTTATGGGACCTTGGATGGTAGGATTCTTTGTGGTATATTGCGTGTCTCACTGCACACATGAACATAAGTCTGTGTGAAAGAAGGGCCAGAAGAGGCTGAGGGAGGGGCAGCCTTCTGTGATAAGGACACCTTCCTCTGGTTTGTTCTTGCACTTTTGAAAGCCAGAGAGAGTTCTGGGTGAGGCAAAGACCACATAACCTTCTTAGCCATTGAGAGACAGAGGTGAGGTAGGTCCTGCAATTTCTCTGGGTCAGATATCAGAATCCACAGGGATTGGCAGGTCAGGGCAACCCGTGAGGGTACAGAGAGGCTGTCAGGGCCATGGACCCAAGACTTCCTCACCAGAGGCCCACTGTCCCCCATCCCCAGCCCTTAAGCTCCAGCATTGCCTTGGGGCTGTGTCTGGTTTTGACCATGGCTAATTCTGGGAAGGGGGAGACAGGGGTTTGGCAGAAGGCATGACAAGGAAAAAGGGTCTCCTTAGACTCAAGAGGGGCCCAGAGTGAGGGCAGCGGAGGGATTACTATGCCTCTTTTACCCGGGCCAGTACCCCTGAAGCCCCTGCCTCTATGACCTCCCCATACTATGGCTCCCATTTAGCTCCTTTCTGGACTTTGCAGCACAAACCTCTCCAGACCAGCTCCAAACCTCTTCACAGCCCAGGTCCTGATCCCCTGCTTGCTCTTTCCTCAGGGCCCTTCTGCCCAGAAAATACCCTGGTTACAATATAGCACTCTGGGAGGCTTCTGCCCTGGGCATCCTTCCAGTCCTCACTCACTAATTCCTTGGTGACCTCTTCCCAGGCATGATTTGCATTTCTTACTTCCACACATGTTCCAGGCTGCTTCCTCCTCTAGGAAGGATGGCCATAGTCTCAAGGGTGACCTACCTGTCCATGACTGCTCAGAGACTAGCCTTTGAGGATGGGAGCCCTGGGAAGCACTCTCTCCCTTCCCCTTCTCTCACATGGGTGACTCAGGTCTCCTTGTTCCTCAGGAACCTGCCATATCTTCCTGTTGACTGGGGCAAAGGGTCTATATGGTATTCATTTTTCCATCCTCCACATAAGCACTCAAGTCTTGCCCATAGGCTGTTGCTTGATGTGAACAAGAAATAAACTGTGTAATGGATTTGCAAGGGCTTTGGCAACCAGTTTTTCCCGTATTTTGCACGACTTTGGGGGGAAATTCAGTCATAATTATTTCCTTTGCTCTGCAAGACTGCTGCTTCTTAAGATGATCTGAACCAGGGTTGGCAAGCAAGGAGCTGGCCACGGGTTCAGTGCTGAAGCCAGGCTGTTAGCTCGGTGAGGTGCTGCAGTGTAGAAGGAACATAAAGCTAAGGCTATTCTCTTCCCTGGGGATGGAGGGCCAACCAGAGGGGAAGAGTGACACCTTTAAAGTTCCTAGTGAGGAGAATGGACTTACAGGCCCCACCCAACTTTTGGGGACGGCAGCTGCTTAGATAGGAATCATGGCTGCAATCCCCATCCTAGGTAAGGACTGGAAGGGAGCAAGCTCCCCAGGGTCAGAGTAATTTTACCTCCCATATCCAGGGATTTTAGGACCTGCTGCTCATTTGGGACAGGCCTGCTCTTCATAGTTTATTAAATGTCATCTACTTCCACGCAAGGGGGCTGCTACCAGCCAAGAAAACCTCAGGGGTCTGGCAGGACGGAAGGACAGGTCCTGGAACCCCAGGTCACCTTCTCATCTCACACTCAGCTACAGCAGAAGTCACACCTGTGGGAACCCTGTGGAGGGATGGCAGGTACCATGTACTTGAGCTTGCCTGTCATGCCTCAATGTGGTTTCAGGTGTGTGGCATTTGGAAGCTGACTCTTACTCTCCCCAGGCCCTGATCCTAGTACAAGGAGACATGAAACCAGAATCCTTTCTATGTGTTCTTTGAAGAATCAGAAAAGGGAAACCATGGTCTTTTCTGGTGGGCGCTTAGCTCTGTTCAGAAACAGGGGCAGGACACATTGGGTGTACTGACCAGCACAGTGGCTCTAGGTTCTTAGACTATTTTCACTTTTATCTCTGCCCACAGCAAGGGACAAGGCAATTATATTATGGCTTTGAACAGCCCCAGGGGCATCCTCTGCCTCTGTTCTATATGCCATTTGCAAGTCAAGGAGGGGATGTGAATAGCGCCCCCTGGAGGTGTGTATTATCTCAGCAGCAAAAGGCAGTCCCCAGAGAGCCCCAGGTCAGGACTCCCATGTAATACTGGGAGCAGGCAGCAGGGAGCAATGTTGTTGTATACCCAAAGAAAGAAAAACTGCCTGCATATTGCACTTTGTGGTGCATTTTTCTTTTGTTCTCAGTAACAAGGCCTGATTTTTGCTTTGTCTGTTGTTATTGCTTTCTGGTCCATGGTTTCTCTTCTTTAAAGGAAATAAATCCAGAAGCCCCCCAAAGAGGTGTTGAACTAATACAGTGCAATGGGGCTGTGATTTTCTCTGAGTCCAGTGTGAAACTTGAAGCATTAGGAAAGCCACCCTCCATGCAGAAGACATCCCAAAGCCATGACAATGCAACTCCTCACACTGCATTTGTTAAGCATGTCCTTTCTAGACCATGTATCCAGCAGGTCATGGGTCCCATGTCTGCTTGTACTAGGACCAGGGTCTGGGGAGAGTAAGGGTTTGGGAACAAGACTTCTGAGTCCCCTCCTCATCACCCACCAAGTCCAGTGAGGAGCCCTGGCAGTTCTCTAACTGAAGCACAGTACACACAGGATGGGTTCCCTGCTCTGGGAGCTGGGTTTCAGTGTGGTTCTGTTAGCAGCCAGCTGAGTACCACTAGACAAGTTCCTTAATCTCTTTGGGCCTTACTGATTTCTTTAAGAAAATTAGAAATTCTTGTTTTGTTTGCTATGGAAGAGACATGGTACATAGGATCATTTTGCCAAATAGAGTTATAGAAGAGCAGGCTGGTGAATCCAGATGAAACTTTGTTGCATCTGTCCTATCCTTTACAGCTGCTGCTCAGCAAATGAGCAAGTAACTAGATCTTTATCTCTCAAGAGCTCACACTGACCCACAGAGTGGGAAGAAGATAGTGGCTCACCATGTCCACCTGGTGCTGGGGGTTTTATGAATATCTCTGGGTACCTACCTGGTTCTGATATTGAGAGCCTGGCTGTCAGAGCCCCCTCCCTCAGGGCTGGGCCTGCTCCCACCTCGCCTATTCTCCCCTTCCCAGCTTTGAGAGCTTCTGGTAGAGATGACTTGTAACTAGCCTAGAGTGGCTCCTATCCAGGTGGGGCAGCCTGGCTGAATGTGGAGGGCATAACAATGTAGTAGGATCTAAGCCACAGACAGACTTCTCTGATTACTTGATGTGAAGGTTTGGGAGAGAAAGCATGCTTCTTAAGATGGGAAGGCAAGCATGGCTGTGGAGTAGAGGAGAGTGACGTGACGTTTATCTAGGGTTTAGGCAAAGAGCAAGACTTCAAGGACATTCCAGGCTGTTGGGAGTTTCAGGCTACCCTGGGCCACCAGGGATCTGTACTCACACCTGCCTGTTAGAAGCTGTGGGAGATAGTCTCAGACCTTCTAGAGCGCTGCAGTTCTAGGAGACTCCTGTCTGAAAAGTAGTGCTGCTTTGGGGTGCCTCCCTGCCCCTGAGGCCCTCACCTTGCTGGTCAGTTAGGGGGCTCCCTGTATGAATGAAGGCCACATCCCCAGGGATCTGTGTAGGCAAACATTTCCTCCACCTCAACGCCCCTTCCCCCAGTCAGTCAATCTCCAGGTGGCTGTCAGCCAAGGGCAGGTAGGCAGCGTCCTTGGGGCTGTGTGATTTATCCCTGCAGTTCAGGACGCTGTG